TATTGTTACCATGCAGGAAGAAACCTTTAAAAGACACCCAAGAACAGCTAAGTTTTGAGCCACAGTTCTTCCAATACTTGCAAAACTAGGAGAGAAAGGCCTTTCCACCCCATCCAGAGCTACCTCACAGTACAAACACAGCTCTTCCCCTCAGTCTGCCATTATTGACATTTGGGGGAAAATCTCCAAAACCCCACAAACAAAGTCCCCCCTTATGTATTAAAGGACCACATTTCTCAGGGGTACTCCAGGAAAAAGCAAGTTTTCCACACGAGTTGTTCCTAATTTAAGCATTTTTACAGATCAAACCAGTAAAAACTCAAGAGCAAAAAACCCACAAGAACCAACAACAACACCCCCTCAAAAAAAACCCCCAGCACATCGAAACACGCAGAACATTCATTTAAACCTCATATCCAAATACACAGAACGTTAAATTAAACCTCATAAAGCAGAGACATATTAAAGCCACCACAAATGCCTCAAAATGTCTCATGTCCAAGTTAAAGCCCCAGCTCCCTTTTCCTGCCCTCTCCCCAAACCAGGTCCCTCATGAGGGCAGGCTCAGCCACAGGCTCTCACCTTGACAGAGGAACATCCCGATGCCACGAGGGATCCAAGAACACAAATATCCTGGAAACAGTGCAGGAGAACAGCCCTGCTCGGGCGCTGGAAGGGGAATGGAGCTGGGAAAAGGGATGGAAAGGAGGCCCAGCTGCAGGCGATGCACCCTCAGGAGTGCCCTCACACCACAGCTGAGGGGGATCATTGCTTTGGAAACGGCCCTCAGAAAACAGCCCTTGGGTTTGTTCACCTGCCTTTGAACTGTGGTTTTATAGAGTCTTTGTATCATCTCCATAAATTGTGCTTAATCCAGGGGATATGGATATCAGTGTATGGATAATATTTCCCATCCTTATATCTAGATATGCCCATATCTATTTCCCAGTTTCTGAACATGGCACAATCCTTAGATCTCCATCCACACTCTCTAAATCAGGGGGATTTTTTTCAGTCCTTCAGGACAGCTCAGAAGAAATAAAGGTGTTTTCACTGAGCCACCTCAGACTGGTTTTCTCTGCCCTCACGTTTGTGGTAGCTGAATTCACAGTGATTTCAGAGAATACCCACATGAATATATTGTTTAGTGAAAGCAAAAATGGCACAAGGTTCTGGAAACACGGTGCCATTATTGCGGTATTTTTTAATTCTGTCTTGGGGAGTAAAGTCCATTAAGTGCCTTACCCATAAAGGCGGATGGTATTGGGAACAGAAAAAACTTCCACGCAAAGGCTGGAATACATCTGTTGCCACAGAACAAGAGGAAAATGAAAAATAGGCCTTAAAAGCCAAATGAGTAAAAAAATCAGTTTCCTGGGCTAGAGTTTACTATGAATAGATCTTTTCAGCCCTAAGCAGTGCTAAGAAAGTCAATGCTTCTCTAAGCCAGGTTTCAGCTAAAAAAGAGGTGTTGCTTTATTCCTTCTTCTCCCTCATAAGCTCCGACTCCTTTCTGCTCGGTCTGCCTCTTTCTTCCTACACTGAGGAAAGTAAAAAAACAGGAGTGGAGCTGGGCAAGTTTGACACTTGGCTCAATTCTTACCTTTGTAGAGTTTCTTTCTCTGAATGACATCTGAAAATTGGGAAAACAAACTGGAAATCTTAACAACAATAACCTTTGTGGTTTTATCTGGCAGATTGAAAAAGGCAGGAAAACAGGAACATCCTCACTAACAGCCCTTTCCCATGTGAATTCATGTGGAAAAAAAATCCTTACGATAAATAAAGCTCAAGCAATGTATTCTGACGTCTTTTTCCTGTATTTAAGCTAGATTTCCTTCTAGTGTCATGCTGATGTCAAACATGGATTTGACTTGGATCATATCAGAGAGCTGAGGCCAGCTTCAAGGCTTGCTCTGCCAAACCGGATCTACCTGGGATCAGAAATTCCCGATGGTACAATCTGAGAAAACCTCTTTTCTTGGTGGCCCTTGGGGGCTGGAAAATCCACTCAGCAAATTCATATAATAATAATAAATAAATAAATAAATAATAAAAAATAACAATAAACAAGAACAGAATGAAAATAAGTTAGTCCTTCCCTAAAACACTGGGATCATTTTCTGCTGATGATGATCAAGACTGAGATGGAATATTTCTCTCCTGCTTCCATCATTATTGATTGTTTGGGATGCTTCACTTCTTCAAACATCTGTCTGCACACTGTGTACAACTTACGTAACCTATTAATCACTGTGTTGTTTCTTGTTAACAAAGAGACCAATTTTTGTCAATACACTGCTAATCAATATGTTACAGAGTTTGACTGCAGCTGCAGCAATCCCAAACATTCATTAATTCCACCAGAAGAAAGGCTGAGTATAAAAGCTGGAAATTCCACCCCAGCCTTACAGATTCCATCCAGTTTAATTTTGTATGCACGGGCTTTATCACAGAACTAAGGATTTACGCAGTGGCCACTTGCTTTGCATGAATTACCAACAAAAGCTCAACTCTGTTTAGAAAGTCAATGAAATTCAGAGCCACGAAACTGAAACCCTGCTCTAAAAGACTCAAAGTATTGCTTTTGTATCTCAGGCTTTATTGACAGGAACTCTTGAGCTACTGAAAGACAAAAATAGCATTTCAAACACTTTCTAGGACAACCCCAGAGGTCTCAGACAGGGGTCTGAGCATGTCTGGGTGAAAGCTCCAACCTGTGGAGCTGCAAAGCACCACCTTTTAATATTCAGGTGATTTTTCTCCATCCTTAGAGGCTGCAAAGATGCCTGAGTGCCTCCCTTCCTTCAGGGGATTCTCCCAGGGAATATGTTCTCGTGGGATTTAGAGACTTTACACGGCTCCTTGAACTTCTGAGTACAGCCACAAAAGTCATCCTAACACAGGCTGCTTTTTATGGCATCAGAACTAGTGGGTCATTCTAATGCCAGTCATTCACTGCCAGGACGGAAATGATCTGGGCTGGGATTTGGAATTCCTTTGGAATGCTTTGCCTACCTGATGGATTAACAACCTTAACACTGTTAACATGGGGAAGTATCAGGTGGGAGGAGGTAGACTGGAGGCAGCTGCTCACCATGGAAATATTTCTGGTTTAGAAACATAAGGTGACCTCATAATGTAAAAACTGTCAAAATTTAAAATTTTAAATTCCCAGCTGTTATTTACCCTCCCTTCAATGCTTGCTCTGCCCTCCTCATGTTCCTTGGTTAGGCATTGACCACGAATGGACTATTTTTCCCTGGGAACTGAGAGCATCTAACACAGTCTGGCTTTGAACTCTGCTGGATTTCCCTAAAACATCATTCAGTAGAGACAATTTCCTGGATATGACTTTTTCATTGCACTGTTTTCAACTCTACAGCCTTATATAGGCACGATTTGCTGTTTTTTCTCCACACAGGAATCTTTGTGTTTCCAAGGAAAGGTGACAACACCCACCAAAGCCCTGCAGAAAGGTCCATGGGACCATTTCACTGGAGACACTTAGGGATTCTTTGGGAGAAATGTTATAAAACTGAGTTCAGGTAATTGGGCAGAGCACAGGGAAGGGGTGAAAGGACTCCTCACAGCTGTGATTTTAGTGCTAACTGTACCACCACTTAACTAACCTGTGTTTGGAATGATAAAAAGCCATTTAAAGGAGGCTGGGGAGAGTGAAGAGGAAGAAATAGATTAATAGATCTCCATGTTGAGCATAATTGATTTGGGGCATGTACTCCACAAACCCTTCACCAATGATTTATCTTCATTTGGTGGGCAGAACACCGAGTTCAGTCAGGTCCTCAGAGAGCCATCCATCAACTGCCTCATCAGCAGAAAGAAGTGGTGCCTCCTCTTGCTATTTTATCTTTCCTTTGGCTTCCATATGTGACTTAAACAAAACAGGGGATCATTTTTCTCGGAAAAATAAATAAATCACTGCTGGGTTTAAGGGAGACCCAGCACACACTGAGCTGTTACTGAGTCAGCTCCAAAGCTGATCCCGCATCTCCCACCTGCTGAATTCCAGCTCTGCTCATCCCCTGCACACGGGCAAGGGAGAGGTAATGCCTTATTTAAACTGCTGGGGATAAACCTCAAACAATCTGTTCTGCTGTTTGGTGCAAGGAACATTTTCTTTGAGGATTTAACAGGGCTCATCACTCCGGTAATGAGCAAAATAGGAGAGACAGCTCCTGATAAAAGCAGAGTGTCCAAATACCTCCAGCACATTCCTTCTGCCTCCAAGTAAAATGCCATGGGAAGGGAGCCCTGGCCAGGATATCTTCATTTTCCTCTAGAAAAAATTGCTGAGGAGAGTCTAAGGAGCAGTTTCTTCACACCCATTTTCCCTGGAATTGCCAGCAGAGCAAGGCACCATTCCAGGCTTTAATCCTGGCGCTGCAGCCTTCAAAATCTAAGCCCTGCTAACCATCCCCCTGCCACATACCACTGCAATAGGCTGGACCTACATTTTGCCTTTTGGAGCACTTTGCTTCTTGCTTACCACTGATTTTCTCAGGCAGAGGGAAGTTCGTATAACCCCTGGTTCTCTCAGCAAGAGGTTTCAACAGGGTTAGGAAAAGGTGGGGAGAAGGAATGTGCGCAACACATCAAAGAAAAGGAACTAGAGGGGATTCCTCAGTAAGCTGCAGCCAGGGTCAAACTGATCTCCAACATCAAATGAGGAATAAAAACACAACAGGCATGAAATTTGGAAAAAACCCCCACCATCCTATGTCCCAATCACCCCCTTTTTGAATGATCTATTTTCTCTGCATAATTGTCACTTCTGAGGAAGACTGATCCAATTCTTTGAAATGCCATTTAAGAACTGCTTGGGCAGCAGTATTTGTTTTTAGGTGTGTGAGCTCACTGAAACGGGCGTCTCATTTATCATATCCAAACATTATTTTTTGGTGACGTTTAAATAACACTGAAGCCCACCAGGGCAGACAGCTCATGGCAATTTTGGGAACATTTCCTCAACTGCTTACCTTGCTTTTCATAATTTTTGGCTGATCAGGAGCATGCAGATGATACATCTGATCGACTCACAGTCTGGACATTTGCAGCTCCGTACCTTCTTCCTGATGATAATTCATGGACAGCTAGAAAAGATGAGGTAGGAGGATCATTTAGACCAAGCACCACTGTCAGGACAGGTTGCTAAACACCCAAACCCCAACAATCCCTAACTGAAACTCCTTGAAAATCGATTTATTGCCTCTTGCCCTGCCAAGATTTTGCATTCAAAGCAACACAGGGCGGGAAATAAGAAATAATTTCCATTTCTTTTTTTTCAAGATGATTTCAGGAACCCTGAAACTGCGACTTCTGAAGTCCCACTGACAGTCTGTGTATTTACTCTACAGAACTGCAATAATATGTGATTAGTTAAAATGAAATACAGTCCCCAATTCATCTTTGCAAAAGGCTTGGAAAAGTTGATGAGGAGAAAGGCAATTTTCCTTCTATAAAGCAGCTCCCAGCACAAGGAATTTTTTTTTCTATTAAAAACTGACCTAAACTGAAAAGAAATATTCTTCAACAGGGGGAAACCTGATCCTGCATGAAAGTGGGAGTAGTATAGGAATTAAATCATATATTTTCAGCTTTAGGAACTGATCTGTAAATCAGAAATGCTCCTGTTTGTGGTCATACAAACAGTTTGTGGATCCGTGACTTCAATGACCAAGTGTTTTGCCCTGAGATAATCCATGGGGAATAATTGCACTCAGCCTTTCATCTGCAGTTTTGTACAGACCAATACATTTCAAATGGGCAGTTTCCAAAGGCCAAACTCCACTGTCAAAACCAGCAAACAACCAAACTTAAAAAAAATACCAATCAGCTATTTCTCCATGAGCTGATCACTGTCCCTGCACTGAGCCCAAGGTACACAGTGCCCTGTTAGTGCTCTACAAAGAAGTAAAATATCAGTTTTATTCACTATACAAAATCCCCTATTAAAAATTTTATGAATATTTAAAACCTGCAAGTGCATTTTTTTATGCTCTCCATCATGGCCTAGCACAACTCCTGTAGTGTTCAGTGTGATTTATCCCTGCCAAAACCAATAACAGGTAACAGAAGAAGCCCCCCCGGCACTGTTAATTAGCCCAGGTGTTAATTGGGTGTTCCAGATGGGCAGACAAGCAGCAGTGGGACAGAGAGGCAGGGCTGAGAACCTCTCAGTGCCCTGAAGGATGGATGATGCACCTCCAGTTGCGTGACCTTCCTTGTCATAGGAGACACATCATGGCGAGAAATATCAATGCTGAGACAAGTCACAGACACTAAAATACAGTAAAATCCAAAACATAAAGAAACAAGTGAATATCTTGGCAGCTCAAGTGCGCCCATTAATTGAAATAAATGAAATGTCCCAGCCAAGGAAAGGAATGGAATCTGCAGTGAGTGACAAAATTCCCATTTTGAAGGATGGCTGGGTGGCTTCCCACAGCTCCAGCTCCCTTTGGATAATCATCTCCCAGCAGGAAGAACGATAACATGTCAAAGGTTTGTCATCCTTCTTCTTCACCCCCTCTAATTGCTATTTTATCTTTCAATAATTGGCAGAGGCAGAGCTCAGTTGTGGCTTTTGTGTTTAACCCACAATACTGGGGGAAGGGGGGATAAATCCCCAACCAAGGATTTGCTTTGCACACTTGGGCTTGCAGGAATAAAATGAAACAGTTTTAAGGAGTTCTAGAATATCACAAAAGTGCCAGGATATCAAGTATCTGGAGAGCTTTGAGCTGAGTTAAACAAATCCTTCTCAAAGAAGACTTTTTAAGTGAGAAAAGAGAAAAAAGAAAGAAAGAAAGGAAAGAGAAGAAAAAAAGGCACATATATGTAAATTAAAACAAAAAACCAACTCCATCTGATGGGATTGAATTTATGGCCAGGTGTGTGTGCAGTTCTCCCTGCCAAACCTTTATATGGGAATTCTTATTTCCTATGGAAATAAACTGGACTCCGTGCTCCTCCTTCCTGGAGATTCCAGCCAGCACATACCTGCTCCAGGGATTTCCTGTGACTTCCTACCTTGATTGTTGGATAAGGCAGCATCCCACTGGACAGAGGCCAAAGCAGTCATCTCCCCCTCCAGCACAGTTCACCCACATCCTTATCCCTCCAAACACCGACACTTGGCAGGGCTAATATGGAACCAACAGCCAACCTTGGCAGTTATCTGTAAATAAACACTATTGTTCTCCCCAAACTTTCTCCACATCCTAACAAAGACCAGTTTTCCCACGTTCCATCCGATGATTTGCTCCCAAGGATTCCAGTGAGATTGATCTCCAGTGGGCCAGAAAGCAGCTCATCAGCTGAAGGCTCTGCAGTGGCAACCTGTCAGTTTTAAAAACATTTTTCCTGTTAGCTGCTAAAGTTATTTAGGTTTCCTTCAAGGTTTGTATGTGCCAACTTATTTAAATTATTTTCCAGTAGACCCTGAAAATCACAGAGAACAGAAATAAATGGCTGAAGCTCGGAGAGCAAGGATATGTTGCTCCAGATTATCTGTCTCTTTGGCTTCATCTCCACATAAGCACAGAAACAATGTGAGTCAAATGTAAAGAAACTAGAAAAACATCAGCTTAAGCATAACAAATTACTGTATTACTGAGGAGCATGAAGAACAAACAACCCATGTGCAGCTCAGAGAGAAATCTGGATTTTTGTCATAGATCTTATATAAGGATGGGATCATTATGTCTTACAAAAACCTCACATTCATCCCTCTGCTTTCATTCTCTGAGTTTGGAGGGAAATCCCACATCCTGCCCAGCAAAGCAAGCTGAGGAAACTCCAAATGGAAATCTCCAGATGTTGCCTCAGAGCCATAAAACTTAGCACATGAATAGCTGCATGGATTTTGTACATTTAGTGCAGCAATCACAGGATCTCGAGGACAACAACTCCAATCCTCTGCACAACACATTTATGAGGCTCCAAATGGTAAAACCATCACACTGATTCCCATCACTGGAGTGAGAAATTCCTTGTTACGATGTTTTACTGAGAACATGGAGGGGGGGAGCACCGAAACAGATAAAAATATCTAAAATTTGGGATATATGAGTACAAAAACCAAAGCAGGAGTTCATGGTGATGCCAGTGTTTTCCCTTTCCTCCCTCTTCGGGGTCACAGGCTCTTCCTGGCCCTCTGGACAAGCCTGGCTACAGCAGCCAGGAAATCCCTCAGCACAAAAACAACTGGGACTCAGCAGAATTCATCCCCTGCAAGTTTCTCAGTGCATTTTAGCTACTTTTAAGTGAGGAAATAATAGTAACAACACCAGCAAAATCAAATCTCCTGGTGCTCAGGGTTGTTACCTTTCGGTGTTTCTAAAACACTCAGTTCTGCAGGAGCACAACTAATCTGGGCCTGTTGAAATGCTCTCCTGCCTCCTCCCCCTCTCCTGTGGAATATCATTCGGAATTGAGGGGTTTGGCCCAAGATTTGCAGCTCCAGGGAGCCCAAACTGCAGTTCAGGCTCCACCATGGACCAAAAATAGAATTAGAGGAAAGAAATCCCCTCACCTTTCACTCTGTACTTTCCTTCCCCAAGGCTGCCCACAGGAGAAGGACGAAGGAAGTGCTCATTATTCCCTAATGGTGCATTATTCCTGCCACTGAGGGTCAGGGGTTTGTGTGTGCCAGCACTGTGGGACTGGCACTGAAACAGCACCAGACAAGGTGCATTAACCTGCTCAGTATGAGTGGGAAAAGAATCAAAAAATTAATTTAAAATTTACTTAAAAATTAATTTGAAAATTAATTTTAAAATACCCTCAACTACTTGATCCTCAACTCCCTCATAAATCAGGAGCCCAGAGACTCAGAAATCCCCAGCATTCCCTCTCTGGCAGGCACTGACCAGCCCTGGGACACCCCTCAGTCCCTCTGCCATGGTAGCAGGTACATGCACTGATAAAAGAGGTGGGAAAAGTCCTTACAATGAGTCATCCCACAAAAGCCTATTCTCTTTTTTGTTATTTTTTCTGGCCTAGGAAAGGATTGAAAGCAGCCTCCCCTGTTTCCATGGCACCCAGAGCGGCAGCCGATGGCCTTGTTATCACAAGAACTCTCCTAAATTTCAACACATTGCTGGGAATTGCTATTTTGTGGTTTCTGTGGGTTTTTTTTCCCTATATTCAAGATGACCCTCCATTCCTGGAACCACCAAAATCGTCCAAAAGTCTCTGGTGGAGTTCAACTCTTCATAGCGGTGATAGTTTTTAAACAAGAAATAAAATAGTACATGAATCTCTTGAAGAGAATGAAAAAAACCCTAAAACCCCCTTATTTTTTTCTTAGTTATCCTGGGCTTGGCAGAGCTCTAAATACATTTGTCTGGTGGATCCTACCTGGGCAGCATCTGCTCACACCCACTGAAGAACACCCAAGGATGGCCATGGAGACAGAATTCCTTCCCCTTCAGCTGGGCTCCCAAAAAGCTGCTGTGCTGCCCTGGGGAGTGTTGAAAAGAGATTAATGAACGCGGGCATTTTACACTCAGAGACACTTTTCATCACTCAGATTCATCTCTGTAAAGCCTCATGAATATGTAGCAGTGTCTTTGACTTCTTTTCAGGATCTCCCAGGCTCGGGGATTTTTAGATTTCTTTGGTTTCGAAGGTATTGATTCCGTGGCTTCCACTTTGATTTTCTGTACAATTATAAGTGATTGAACATTGAGCAGCATTTAGGAACTGGAAAAGAATTGGTCTTTCACGGTTTCAAAGGTAACTGAAAAAACCCTGTACATTATCCCCTGTGTTTTGTTAATTATCCTGGTTTTTTACAGATGTGCCTTGTGACCCAAACTCACCAAAGAACTGCTCTTTCCCCAAAGAATCTGTGATTCACTTAATGAATGATAAAAAATAATAGGTCCTGTAGAGCTTTAGAACTACTTATTCCTACAAATGGGGCTTCTTGGTACAGTGTGAAAAATACAACTGAAAAGCCTCGCCTGAATTTCAAAAAGTGCTTTCCCCCACATTTAGATATTAACGTTTCTATGTGTAAAAATCTTGTTAAAAGCGACTGTCCTACAGACAATTACACAGAAAAATATACAGAAATAAAATCACGTGAGCTTAACCCAACTTCACCTCACAGGAAATGGACTTTTCTTTGGGAGCCACAGGAAGGAAAATGTGGATAGGGAATAAAGTTCTTTAGCAACAGTAACTTAATCACTCGAGTTACTGACAGATCATTTTACTATGAGAAATAACATACAATAAAACTAGAGAAGATTTTCTCGGTGTTTTGGGAGATGCTGCTGTAAAACATCTGAATTATCACTGAGAGGTTAAAAAAGCACTTTGGCATTCCAGGCTCTACCAGATGGTTTGTATCCTCATTTCTTGAGGAGCTGCAGAGGCACGGGGAGTATATTCCAAGAAAATACAGCCCCAGCAAACCTCCATTTCATCCACAGAGGCCTTAACAAAACGACTGAAACAACTCCAGTTTAGCACATCATTATAAATCACTTTACAGCCCTAATATCCTCAGGTTCAGACATTAAAAGGACAATAAAACTGCTTAGGAGGTGCTCTCTCCAGCTAAGAAGCACCATGGTATTCACCAAACTGACTCCAGCTTCTGGGGAATGGCCTGGAATGTTAAGGAACTAAAGTGGTTGAGCAGTCTATTAATTTTGGAGGGGAGGTGTATATATATATATATACATACACACTACATACACACATTGAATCTTTCAAAATGCACCACTCTAGCAAAGTGAATTAAATGCCATTGAGGGAATATTAAGCAACTCCAGAAGAAACTATCACTCTCCCTAATTTCTTTCTTCATGTCTCAGGCAGGTAAATTATGAGGAATTTGCTATCGGGGAGGAAAACATTTCAATCTTGCCCAGATAGCAGTAATGAGATGTGACAACAGCCCCAATTTGTGCATCAGGAGGGCTCAGAAGGCTGTTTGAGGGTGTGCTGGGGGCTCATCTGCAAAGGCAGAGGGTGACACTGTAAACCTGCTCTGCCTGTGCTCCTCTCCTCCTTTTCCCAGCCTTGGCAGGGCAAACCAATCCCTGCACCTCCAACAGAAACCAGGGTAAGTGACTGAGAGAGACAGAATTAATTCCTCGTGTTTGATGTGTTCTGCTTCTCCCCACTATGCAATTTAATCCAATAGTGCTGCTCCACACAACTGATGGGATTTATCGGACTCTCCTGCAGTTCATGTTTTTATTTGGAAATTGTTATCTTATTGATTAGATTTTTCATATACTTTCCATTAACTTGCTTCTATCTCCTCCAAAACACTTTCCACACTTCATTTTGTCCACAGTGCAGCTCTACTTACTCAAATATTATAACACATAATTTTATATAACTACAGTATACAACATAAAATGAATGCAAGGTTCAGGGTCAATTTGAAAGATTAAAAGTAAGATTTAAATTCTCCTGGGTGAAAGCAACTTCTGAAAAAGTTAATTATTCCTCAGATTTACCCCTTCAAGCTTTCTGCTCACCAGAGATCTGAAAGGATTTCACTTTTCACTCCTGGCCACAGAATGGCCCAGCAGAATATTAAAAGCTGAAATAATGTGTGAGACCTGAAGAGTTATTGCTGCTATTTACGAAGTACCAGGAACAGGTCCTGCTTTCAGTTATTTCTGAAGTTACTCCACTGAGTCTGCTGCCCTATTGCCCTGCATAATATGTACATCTAAATGTGCCCAGCGTGGGCTCGAAAGCACTCCTGGCCCGCTCGGGGCACATTTCAGCTCCATGTGACGCTGATAAACAGCCACCAGAGAGACACTTGTTCCTAAAAGAGATGCTTTAGGCTAACAGGAAATATTAGCAATAAACCTTCTGTGCATTTGAGGAGGGGAAAATAAGCTGTATTTCTAATGTGCCCTGTCAAGGCACCTGGTTACAGCTTTTATTGGGTTTAATGGGATGTGTTTGGTTTCTGTTGAAAATGGAGTGGAAATGGAACGTGGGTTTCACAGAATAGATTAATATCTCTTATCTGAGGCATTATTATCTCTTAAAATATAATTTTTAGCCCTAGAAAACCACAGGAACACACAGTCTGTGGCTCAAAAAGGTTACACACAGTTGCAGTGCCTGTGCCCACAGAGAGGTGGCAGAGGAGGAGGAGAAAGAAAAGGACCAGGGATTCAGGAACCTGCTGCAGGCCTTTGGCTCCCAGGAGGTGTGAGGAGAAGGATGGATCCCAACAGCCATTCCCTGGGTGGGAAGTGCTGGAGCAGGGTGACCATCACCCTACTGTGGGGGTCAGAGGGGAGGAAGGATCTGTGCTGGCTGAGGGTCACCCCCAGCACTCTGGAGAGTGCCAGCACTGGGAATTGCCTGCAGGGTGCTCTGAGGAGAGTCTGGGGTGCCCACAGCTGGTTCCAATGGGTTCCATCCAGCTCCAAGGGCCCCTGAGAGCCTTCTGGATGCCGGAGCTGTGGGACTCCTGCAGCCCATCGAGTCGTGTCCTTACAGGTGCTGTGAACTCAAAGGCAGGAGGAAGATCCCACATTCCCATGCAGCAGGGAGGGGAGAGTTCTGTGGGATGTGTTGGAAGAATATCTGCTGCTCTTGCATGCAGTAAAAAAATACAGGGTTGAACTGGGGTTTTAGAAGGTTCTTCTAAGACAACTTTGAAGGAGGAGGTTTGTGGCAGCTCCGCAGTGTGACCTTTGGAGCAGCCGAGGGGCTGATTTGCTCACCAGCCCATCAAAGACTCACCACTGTCACTGCCTCTCCCCCATCCTTCCCCCAGGGCTCTGCTGCTTTACTGCCACTGAGTTTGGCAGGGACTCGTGGCTTCCCAGGAGTCATCTGGGGTGACCAGATCCAGAATCCCTTCACTTCCCTCCTCTTGTTCCCCACAGGCCCCCAGAGCCTCCCACATCCCTCACCATGAACCTCCTCGCGCCTGAGGTGAGGTCACCCGGCACTGCCTGGACAGCTGGGATGGATAACTGGGCACCTTCCAGCCTCCTGGAGCAGAGGCAGAGCCACAGAGCCTCCTGGCAGGAGAAGTGCTCTCATCAGTCCTCTCCATGCCCCAAAACCTGCAGCAGAACGAGGGTTCCAGCACGTTGCACAGCACTAGGGAATACGAGAACATCCCCACCAGGATGGAATGTTTTCCTGTTATCTGATTAGGTGGGGCTTAATAAAGAAGCTGAAGCAGCACAGGATGTTCCAATGCAATGGTGCTGCATTAACAAGCAGTAACTGATGATTTTTGTCAGCCCTACAGGAAGAGAGGCAGCACTGAAAGGAAGTTGCATTCCCAGACTGCCTGTTCCTCCCTCATCCTGCAAAACAACCACAGAGACACCTTCTGTCAGGGAAATGCAGTCACATAACTCCAGACATCCGGGTGCTAACTAGTGGAGATTATTGTCCTAGAAATAAAACCACAGATTCCCCAAAATCCTGTCATGGGATGGGATACCAGTGACATAGCACTGAAATTGTAAATGAACACATGGGAGAAGTGTGTTCAATGGGGTGTTTAATGGGTTCATTTGGCCTCTGTTATTTTTCCATGAGCTGATCTGAACAAATTCTACTTATTTGATCCCTAATTCCTGCAAAGACATTTCTATCTATAGAGCACTTGCAAATTATGCCCTGCTACTGCTGTCTCACAGGGTGAACAATCACACAAATTAGGTATTCTCAACTCTACTCCTGATTAAAGACTCACTGAAAACAAAGGGCACAACAAGTGTCACATCACTTGCGACAGAGCTCCTGACCACCAGGAGCTGTGAGAATCCTCATCTCAGTGCAGTTTGCCTTGTATATTCCTAATTTTCTACCAGTACAGCAGCAGAGCTGGAGAAGGACACTGCCCTGCTTTAGGATGGGGATGGTTTTGGACTGCAAGAAGATGGTTTTAGGCTGACGACCTTGTTGGAACTGGGGGGCACTGGCACCTCAGAGCAGTGTTCCCTGTGTTCTGCCAAGGGGTGGCTGGAAAAACTCCAATTAACTTCATGAACCACGAGTTTTCGGAGCAGCACTTTCAATTAATATTAAAATTGTGAATTAAGTGTGAAGTCTGTGACTACAGAATAAATTTTACTGCATTAAAATAATAAACAAAACTGACAGGGTATTAAACTGAGTTTCCATGAAAACAACTCCCTGTGGTCTCCAGGGCAGATTCCTCAGCTCAGAGCTCGATCAGCCATCGAGAGCAACCAAGAGCTCAGAGCTCACCCTGGAGTCCAACCCACTTTCACCCCAAAATGAGTTTGGTTTGCTCTGGGTTTGTTTGGGTTGGGTTTTTTTCAGCACAGAACTGCCAGAGAGGTTTTAGCCTATGAGAGAGAGGCAGGAAAGCTTAAACCAATAAAAAGCCACAAAATCAAACACCAAAGGCTAAGTCCAACCCAAAAAGGACTGAACCAGTCAAGCAGCTGCCCCTGTGTGGATGATAAACCATCATCATTT